ACTCCCACAATTTTCCAGACAGGACTTCCGGTTCGAATCAGGTACAAGTCCAGTAGCAAAAATTGGGTGTACAAGTCCCGGCAGAATACGGTAGTGTTGAGCTTGCAATCGTACTAGAGTTTCTTTGCATCTGGCATGCGAGTCGGGGTCGACCTTGAAAATTCCTCTGTAGACAGCGCCAATGCCGTCCTCTAGAAGTGCCTGGCTCTTCCCGCCTCCCAACGCACTGTGACATCATGAAGTGGCGCCGCAACATTCGCGCCGATTCATGATCGGCGCGAACGAAGACAACACGTGCCTGGTGGCCTCTCTGCACCAGGCCTGTGATCTCGTGGATCTGGCTGTCAGCTTCACGGCCGAAGATCTCCAGGAGCACAAGGATTGAACCAACCTCGGCCATCTCCCAATCCAAGTTTCGCCCATTCATGCGCCACCTTGTCATGGAACACGGTTTACCCTTCCGTCTTGACGTGGCCTCCAACAATATCGCAACTCGCACGTAAGTGGTGTGGACTGCGACACGATTTCCGTCACTGACGACGAGGGTCTCTACCTCCTGATCACGACGGAGAGTGGTGTGAGTCATGCTTACATCCGACGACAAGGACAAAGTCGACATCCTCGACACGTTCCACCGGTCCAAACACCAGCGCCCCATCCAACTCCAACGTCTTTGCTGCCTCATCATGGGAGCCTGAGGTTTTGGTGAAGCAGATGATGTCGACTATAGACATGGAAGCGTTGTTTTGCAAGGACCGCGCCACATACACGGAAGCCAGGCTTTGCAAAAGGTGAAGGACTTGATCAACCTGAACTCGGTAACCAAGGATATCACCAAGGAATGGGAAGCGATTTTCGCGGCGGAAGTAAATAGTATTGTCGCCAGCACCAAGTATTCGACGGCCGACCGCTTGGTGTACATGAGCCAGTGCATATCCCAAACCGCTCACATGGCGTGGACCACGGTCGGCCACGTCGGGTCGGACGTCAACTTGTACTGCGCGGGTCCGTTGGTCTTACCCGCCGTTGCAACACGACAACACGCACTTGAACCACATCATGACCACCTACCTTGACTTGGATTTGCAACCCCTCACGCTCAAGATGCGCGGCATCAAGCCTAACGACAACGTCAAGACGGCCATCCCCACCCCAGTCCCCAACGCAACCAACGCCACGTCAATCCGCACCATCACCTTTCCAACCACCTCCAAGCTCTACGGACTGAGAGGGAGCGTTTCATATCGTCGTCATGGTGTTTCGTTGACGATATCTGGTCTCTCTTCAATCCAAACAAACAAGACAGACGACGAAATGAAGCACAATTCATTGGATACGATGCTTCGAGTCAGCTCGTGCATATCAAGGCGCGGTGCTTCTCCACACTGTTTGCGACGACGGATATCACCAAGAAGAGGGAAGCGGTGTGGACCCTTGTCCCTGCCCTGTTCATCCCTATGACGATTCGTCTTTCACCAGTCCGCCGTCCCTGTCACCAAACCGCTCTGTTTGTGACGAAGTCCGTGTCAGAACGTCTGCTGCCACCGCCGTGACTACTTCCACCACTCGTGCCACCGCGTCGTCAGCCCCCGTCACTACCCCTTTCAAAACTCGTGACCACTACTTCCGCCCTTGCAACACTTTCTCGACCCCTCACCTACCCCCAACGTGTCGACCACTAAACCGTCCACCACAACCATTGTAAAGCTTACCATGAAGCTCGGTCTCATGATCGTGTCGGTTGTTGGAGATACTGCGTGGCAGGACCCGTCTGGCGGGATGAGGTCTCTCGAGTCGCCCCAAGAAGGGCGACGCTGTCTCGCAAGACTGCCACCGACATCTTGACAGCTTCAACGGTGACCGGTGTGTCACCAAGGCCGACGCCATGTGTCAGCGCTTACCCTCTGGCGGTGGGGGCACCATCTCTATGGCCTTTATGTCTGCCAATGCTGACCTGAAAATCACTCGATCTCTCAGTACACCTACAGTATCACCGTGACTTGCTGATTTTTCCACGTTGAACAAATACCCGGGAGTTGCCTAGTACTATCAATAGTAGTACTAGTCATATTTTATGGGTCACCCCCACGAATATACGACTTTTGATATCAGGATGGGGGGCCTACAAAAATCACTCGAAAAGTGACTGACGCTGCGAAGTGGCGACATTGAGTGAGGGGATCCGACATGATTCAGTACAAGACGCATGCTCCGGGACGGCTCTCTGTGGAGGACCAAATGTCCGAGGCACGCTCTTCGTCTAGATAACTTTAGTTCACCGAGCTGCATGACCATAGGCGTTGTCTGCGTCAGAACTACTGGGAATGCGGCAGCGAAAAGGATTCATGAAGCTCTTTCGCAAGTATTGCTCGAGCAAGAAGAGCCCCATTGACTGGTACGCATCACGCCACGCCCATCGAGTACAGCCTGCCATGACGGTCCCATCCTTAGGAAAGTCGTGAACCCACCTCCGGTTGACATGGTGATCAACAGCTCCAGCGTCGAGGCGTGCCCAAACGATGCCAGCCTCAAACACGAATTGCTGGATAAGCTCGTGCGTTTTCGTCTGCATCTTCTAGATTCAGATGTATTCACCGAGA